TCGACAGAAGTCTTGAGACCCGTTTGGGTGTTTTGAGACGCACCGCCTCTTTGCAGTAGGGCCACGCAACCCCTTGTCACATCTGCTTTTACCACCCAGAATCGGCAGAATCCCTGTGCTTGTTGGTTTGCCTTTCTCGCGAGTGTTGCTGCACCGCACAGCGACCCTGTCCTGGAGTTTTCCTTCAATATGGAATTTTTTGAGGAGTCGCTACAAAGCGGCTTTTGATTTTGGGATGTTTTTCGGTTCCCATTCTGAAGAAGCTCCTAGGGAGAAAAAAACTGACTAAAACGTTCAAAACTATTCAAAAATGCCACTTTTTACTGGAAAGACAATGACCCGACCAGCCTTGAAAAAGGTCTCAAGATGCAGAATCGCATGCATTATTGATCAAGCGCAAAAAATTATGGAACGTTCTATCAACACCTGATATAATTCGCTCGCTATAATTCGCTAAAATCTTTGCAAAAACTCCTACCAGACGGCCAATAACCTTCAGTCGAAGGAAGTGACGATGTGGTCCATCCTAGCATAATTGCGTGTCAAATAGTCATTTTTCAACTAAATGCAAATGCGTCGATGCATCGCTGATGGTCTCTTGCTAATGGGCTATTTCCCGGAGCTCAAGAAAACTAAAAGCTCTTTGGTGTCTTCAGCTCAAGAATGATCTCACTTACGTGACGGATTAGTCTGCAGCTCCAAACGAGGATACCAGGGATTCCTTTTGGTACTGGAATGGGCAAACAGCCAAATAAACTTGTTGGGATTTCACTACATTGTGTGGATCAATGAAGATAATCGACCGGTGTAACGTGAATGTTCGAAAAACTCGCAAAGGAGCAAAATGTTGAACAACCTGGAATGTTCCCTGTACCCAATCCGTTGCATTTCACCCTTTAGATCAACTCCAGTTCCTCAGCATAGCTCCCACCACTGCTGATTTGACTCCTCACATTTTGCTCTTTTTGAATCAGTTCATTCTCGAAATTCCGAAAAGTTTGGCAATGATAGAATTAATCGGTAAATAATAAACAAACCAATCGGCATTAAGGACCTTGCAACCAATAGTTGAATAGTTCGGCCGTTTGTGAACCTCGTACGAGGGAAGAGCATTTAAGGACAGGGCGCTGTTTGTCGACGGGGGAGGGGGCATTTTTTTACTAGCCATTGCTTCCCTAGTTCCGGTTCACAAATCTCATCCTGGTAGAACTTGTGAACCCTTGTGAAGCTGGAGAGGATCGTCTAGCCACCATCCTAAAAAACGTGTCAACTCGAGAAAAGGCTACTTAGAAGGGTTAGCACATCTTATGGAAAGCAGAATGCCCCCTCCCCCGTCGACGAACTGCGCCTAAAGACAGGTCCCGCGATTAAATGTCATGGATAGTTGCTGCTCAATTATGAAACAGTAGCTGATAAGTAATTCCCCAAAGAAGAAAAAAGCAAGAAGAGCTCTCAAGAACACCATAAACAAAATCGCTCCCTGACAGTCACCATCCGCCTGCTATGCACGTCCCTATTCAACGCACTGACTCATCAGATCGCATTTCTCGCATGTGGTAGTGAACATTCAGCCAATACAGAAAAGAGTAGGAAAAAGAACAACAAAAACCGACGCAAATTCTGGAGAAGAGAATAACTCTCCTGAATTACTCCGGCTAACGAATTTTGGGGTATAAGTTACACGAGTGCGCGCAACTTGTAAATGGCGTCGAACTCTGCACTAAGAAAGAGTCACTCGTGAGTTTACGCGTTTTACCTTGCGAGATGAGCGTGGGCAGTTGACTCTATGTGCCTCCTCGATGATTAAGTGTAATTAACGGAGAGCAAGATTACTTTTATTATGGGCACGAGCGGTGTCAAAAGAAGAGGACATGCCAATTCCTACTAATGCCCGCCGCCCCAACAAAGAACAAGTGAGCCGCCTCTCCGTCAGAAGGCATCTAACAAGTGGGCGCTTCAACTGAGCGGACGCTAGAACTAGCAATTCCAGCGACTGTAGCACGCTTCTTGCTCGCCGTGGAGTCGCGAGAGAGGGCATAGTCTCTTAGCTTGAGGACTGTCACTACCTTGACGAGCATGAATTACTTGAGCGCGGGGGCTGTCCTTAAAGAAGTCTGGGTGAAACCGGGATCCCCGCCATTCGGATGAGGACCTCCACCTGAGCCTGCAATGCTTCGGGGATTGTAAACCAGTGCAAAATACGATACTTCTACGGTGGATGACGTTGTTCTCACTTCCTCTCATAGAATCCCTTGAAATACATTGATATGAAGTTGTGCAGCCGCATCTAACAAAGCTGTTGTGCTCGAGGCCAACAAGATACTCTTCCAAAAGTGCTCGTCCAATGCCGTGGAAAAAGTTTTTTTTTTTCGCAAGCTTTTGGCCGTTTTCGGTGTCACCACCATGTGCGACCCTACTACTGTTTCCAAAGTATCGAAAAATCGTGCCTGTGCTTTAAAATGGGTTTTTTTCGGAATATGCGTGATTGACCTGCGGGTCAAATTTTGTAATTGAGAGGAGAAGGTGAAGCCGACCTATGAAATCGAAGGTTTGCGAAATACACAAAAAATTGTTTTTTCTTGTAAACAGTGAAGCGAGGCTGAGTTGATGCTCTTATTAATCCATAATTTAATTAGGTAATGAATGACTGCTTCGGCGCTGTTTTTATGTGTATATTGACACCCCCATCACGGGACGCATTCGACCGTGTTCATGAAGGATCCATAGAAATGGAGGCAGTTGAAAAACAAGCTTGACGTCAATAAACACGACAAGAGAGCCAAGGAATAATTAATATTCAGTAGGGTTAGCCGGAAGCTTCTGCAAAAAATAGGGTGCACGTGGCCATAGAGACTCGCGATTCTGCTTGCAAATGTGGCTAGTTCTGCTCCCCTTCCCCCTCCCTCCGTATTCCCATTTCGACAATTCAAGCCTTGACGATTGGTGAAAGAAAGCAAAGCCTGAGGAAAACGCAAAACTCTCACGCTTTTTGCTCGGAGCCTTTTCTCCAATAGATTTGTTCTTGGTCTTTTTCATTTTCATTAGTTTTTGCGAATTCTTTTCTTGCCATACGAATTTGCTTTGTGGTCAGGGCAGGTCCTACGCTGGCCAGTCCCCAGCGGGGGTCGTATTTGGTAGCTGGAGGAGAAGGGTGATAACTGACCATCTTGATTTTTGCCTAATAGTTTGTATCTAGTTGATTGTTTGATGTGCGCTACTCCCAACGTTGGAAGACTCCTAGTGAGGGGGGGGGGGGCGAGTGGGGAAGATTCGTGTTTGTTTGTCAGTGAAATGAATGAGGGATGAATTCAATTGAAGCATTGAAGCACGATGCGTCGCTCAGCGATCTATCCGTACGCGCGACTGAAACGATGCCGAATGTAGCACGCTACTGCAGCTGCGGACGCGTTCCATTCGCGCATAGGAAAAACCATTATCGGAGGTGAGTGTACAGGGGGAGTTAAAAAAGACACTGTGGCCTACACTTTGGCCCAGTCACATATTAGTAAAGTCTTCGCAGCCCGACTGAAGACGTGGAAAAAACTACCAAACGGAACATACCCAAGTTGTTCAGGTCGATAAGCTCAGGCTCTCGTCGAAAAAAGGACAGAAAGAAGAAAAAAAATAAAAATAAAAAAAAAAAAAAATTTTTTTTTTTTTTTTGTTCCAGTTTCATGGACACCAAAATTGATGTCATCTCTCCAGTCGCAGTCGGACTGGAGAAGACCTTTGGAATTCACATCACCTCCAAATAGCTGCGAAACTTCTAGTATGGAGTCACCCATGGATAGTTCTACCTGGGACGAGTAACGTCTCATCTGGATAACATCCAACATTGAGCAGCTCCGAAACGCCGGACGTACCTGGAATGAAGAGACCGATATTTTCTTCGTGGACCCCGGACTGAAAATGGAGCTGATGGTTACATAGACCAACTCGAGAAAGAATTATACTGCCCTTCTGTAGTTACCGCTGTACAGCCTTGGAAACTTTCGTACTGCTACAGGATTAGGTGCCAGCACATGGAATCGAAGGGCGTTGGAAAAACTCTCGCCTACTTGGAATGGAAGGGCGTTGAGCACCTGAAGAAGATGGAATATCTAAGTGTGTCACCTGACCTAAACCCCCTCCGTTACCGGGTCCGGGCGGAGTTCAATAGGGTGGTCTACAGTGGCGGAGAAATCAACGATCTCGCTGAACTCAGTCACCTAACCATGGTTGAGCGGCAGAATCTCTCGATGGCGCTGATCCAGAAGGCTGTGGCGGAGCATCATGATAGTATACAATATGCTGTTGAGTGTGATAGTGGGAATGTGCAATCAGAATTTATTAAAGTGTAACTTATATCGCCGCGAATGTCGGGGAAGGAAAGTGTCATTTTTGCTCCCCCCCCCCCCCCATACATGTTTACCCGCTGTTTCAAACGTTAAACACCAAGCGGCATCTGCGGCTTTGCCGTTTGAGGGATACTTTCCGACTGTAGTACATCTGACGACTCCATTAAGAATTGTTTGCGGCTCGTTTGCAATTTTTACTGCGCCCGTCATCTGGCTAACGATATACTAACCTTTATTGATACAATCTACCTGCATAAGAGACGTGCAAGATAACATCTAACATCATGTTTGGTATGATTAAACTTATTATGAATTTATAGGCGCTGTGACTGGACAACATTGCTCGGAAATACTGTTAATCAGAGAATGAATAAAGAACAGACATATAATTTACAATCAAAGCACTCCTGACAAAATTACATTGAAAACGGAACCAATAATGACAAGATTATTAGGTGGTCATGGCTAAATACGACCCTAGCACTTCTCCTTCTCGCCCTGTACGACGATGTCAAGTGTCACGTAGGTCATGTCGTAGATTCCACCGATCTTATCCGAGGGTACGATGTAGTCACCAACACGTACACAACCCTGCAATGAAAACGATTTGAAGGAACCAGGATGTCTTTGTAAATTTGTAGGTAGTGGAGTCATTAAAGTGTGGTGTATGGAGTATGGTGATAAGTGGAGTACCCCGGTTGGAGGGTTGTGCTAGTAGGAGGACTGACAGGGACTTGGCAGTGGTAAAGATTGTAGCGGCCCACTTATCATTTACCACGTTCAACACTATATAAGAGCAACTCACCGGCTTTGACACCTGGCAGGTGTGATGGAGGCGGATGAAAGGCTCAATGGCTCGCCGACCTAAATCGGTATTTTCTAGTGAAAACACAGAAACGGCCAGTATTTACAGACAATTGCCAGCTCTGTAGGGTTGCAGCTAACCTCGTCTTCCTGTCCGAATAGTTCAAATTCTCCTTCGGAGTTGGTGTGCGTCTCGGCCAAAAGGTCGTTAGGGTCCACTAAAAAGCATTAAGTTGTAACTGAGGGCTTGAAGCTTGGATTCACCCCTGATTGCTACTGTATCGCTAGCAAGATTTATAAAATCAGTGCTAAGTGCCTTCGCACTATAGCATAAAACTGCTTTCCAAACTCGATTTCATGATTATTTTGACAATCTACTGCGTAAAGGCAGGCGGATGAACAGTCCGGCAGCGAATCTAGGTCGTCTCTTTTTCGTCTGCGTCCTCTCACCGAGACAGCGTGAGGTGAGTGGCGGACTCCGGTGAGAGAGGAGGCAGCCGGATTATAGATTTGGCCTGGTATCGCATACTGATCTTTCAATGACCACTGTATACTGTCACAACTATTTTCCTAAGAGGCGGGAGCGAGAAATTGATGCACGTTCATAGTTCTCGTCTTGATCGCTCCGATCGCGCGATCGACGCCGACCAAACGCTGGTGCGATCAGAGGGCTAATTGCGAACTACGAGGGCGCGCTTTGAACGAGAAATAACTATGAAACGCTAGGCACCAGCAGCGCCACTGGCATGCGTTGCGGCGCAAATTTTCGGCCCTACAATATTACGACGAGTACAATCAGCACTTGAAGACAGAAATTCTGGCTCAAAACTCACATGTGTCTCTGTCGTATAGCTCGACATGAACGTTGGCCAAACGCTTCTTACTGCACACAGTAATACCTTTGACGGTTACGTTCTGCATTTTAGCAGAAACAGATAGGTAGCAAGCAGCCAGGACGGCAAGAAGTACAAGGGATCGCATGTTCTGAACAGCAGTATCATAGTAGAACAATAAAAGTTTGTTGTGACAGAGGAGCTAGACATGAGAAAGCGACAGCTAGCACATGGTTAGATCAGAGCAAAGCTGCAATTCAGAGTATTTCTGTTCGATTTTAGTGGCAATCTCCTCATGTAATTTGGCCCTTGGCAGGAGTAGGAAGTGGCCCTGTTTATAACGCGCCGGCTCGGCGTCAGAATTCAGGACTCATTGAAGTATGTTGAACTTTTCGAACTTTTCTTGGCGTTGATACTAGGGCTCTTCTGGAAAGCTGACTCCACGTTGGATGGTCCTGCTAGTCAATGTACGGACCAATCAAATGCCGCCACGATACTGAATGGAAGTGGCACGTATGGCTTATCCACAAAAACACTGATCAACGCTGCAAGGTTTATCCGTTCACTACTTGAACATTCATCGCGTACCCAGTACCCAGAATACAAAGAGAGAAGAAAGTACATCATGTGACAGCCTCGTTAGGGGACATTCTTGAGTGTGGCCATAAGGTCACGCTTGAAATCCGTTCGGCTCGCCGCCCTCACTCCTTGGAATGGCGGAATCTCGACTCCAGAAATGGAAAAGCGGTAAATACGACCAACAATACAAGGCTACTTGCGTGAGAGGTACACTTTCTGGATTTGGTTCAAGGAAGCCTCGACGTGGCAGGTGAGGCTCCGCGAAGGCAGGAACTCCTCTCTAGAGTGTGCCAAAAGCTGCTCTAGGTCACCAATAAAGCTCGCAGTCTTGTGAAGTGCTTCACCTAGTGAAGCGATAGATGTCATTTCTGAAGGGAGCATTCCAACTTCCAGCAAACGTGCCCGTCAAGGGGCTGGAATCGAAACCGAACCCAGTAGCGGTCTTCTCTTTGACCTAATCTTTCAAGTGAGAAGAAAGATCAAGACACATTTCCTTCTCGATCGGCCATCAGTCATTGGCGCATCGTCCGAGACCAGCGATCAAGTGCGGATTCAAAATAGCCTCAGTCTCGGCCCCCGTCCTTCCTACAACTTGAGAACTGATCGTACGGCACTAGCCTTCCATGGTTCCCAGAAGTCCGAATAGCGCTTGACCGGAATACTAACTGCAAAACTCGTAGCCCAAGTGTGGAAAACCAATGGGAAATGAGCAGCGTGGGTTTCAGAAATGATATGGGTTTGTAACCCCTTTAAGAAATATTATTTTGGCTGTTGCTTACCGTGACCTTTTGCTCCACTGAGAACTCTGCTCGAATATAGACTAGAATATTTTGAACGCTTTTGGTAATAGGAGGTAAATATCACGAGCAACAAAATGCACAGAAAAAGCGGACTCCTGGCGACAAACGAAAAAATTAAAATTGATGGCATTCGTCAACCTTCATCGGTCGCGCCATGCACTTCAAATGGACTAGAAAATCGTGATGGCTCATTTTGCCAACCTTACCCTGCTGAACCGACGCCCTAGTTGGCAATATCTTAATGTAAACGTGGTAAGAAAACTCTTCAACGAAGTACTGGACCCAAGCGTAATTCGACCGAGTGACCTTCCTAATAACTGCCACGCTTCTTGCCACTGAACCATCCTAATTCAGGACCGCTCACTGTGATGGTTGAAGCTCCAGCATGATCAGATCCGTTTCGAGATGCGCCACGCATTCTGTTACCACTCGAGTCGCAGTGGCATATGACTGCGATTCGCTTTAAAAGGCCAGCAAACGCAGAAGCCAGGTGTTTTTTTTTTTCTTTAGGGACGCAGTCTCCCGGAGAGATGGAAGCAATGGTTGGACTGGAAGGTAGTAACGGATTCGACTCTTGTAATGGGGTAAGCTGTACCGGTTGCCACCACACTACCTTCTCCCATTCATGACGCGGTAAACTCTACAACTCTGCAGCGGCTTTGAAATAAACAGTAATGGATCGAAAGTTTCCAAAGAAGCGCAAGTTCAAACCGAAGCAGACAATTGGAGTACTGCTCACATCGCTTCAAGAGAGATGACTCAGCGAAATCAGTGATACAACATTATGAGATGAAAAACTGCTGCAATGGTACTGGTCCTTCGACCTGTTGTCCGCCTCTTTTATACGTCTGGACGACCGTGGCAGCTGCTCTATGGGGCTAATCGGTGAAAACATTGCGCTGCTGTTGTGCTGACTACATCCGATCATTGAAATCATCTCATTAGAATCTTGATCAAAATACTATCAAATGGTAAACAATTAGTCACTTCACGATTGTCTTCATGAAGCAAATGCGCTAAGACCTAACAAAGTACAAAAAAACTTATGAAAGGTATTTGGTATAGGTTATTCATTTCCAAAATTTCTTTTAGTGATCGTGCGGATGGGATGTTCACAGGGGGACTGGTAATGGAAACGGTGCCGCGGAAGTTCGTTTCTGCCATCGTGGTAAGTTCACTCGCGGCACGACTGGTGGAAAGCTGGCTGGCGCCGAGCCAAACGATCCTCTCTTGAAAAGCCCCAGCTGAAGTGAGCAGAGACAAGGATATAGTCTTGTGGCACGCTAGGCTGTAATTGAATGGATACTCCTCTTCATTTCTCACTGTGCCTACTTGCTGCTTTTTTTTAGTGTCTCCATCGACGGCCGTGCACAATATCCGGCGCATTTTGAGAAATAAACGGCAAGCAAATAAAAAATAGTGAAATGGATTCGAAGAAATCATAAAAAAAAGAATGAGTCGCGGGAAAGGCGCAGAAAACCCGGCAGTGAAGATTAGTGACTCTATGGGACTACAAGTCACGAAGGCCTTGGAGCGGCTCCATATATCAACAACTATTTCTTTCAACTCCACTATGGCCCACCTATTGTGGTGTGTAGGGGTGGCAAAGAAGAAAATAACAGATTATAGCAAGAATGAAAGCAGTGAATAACTTACAATAAAATGTTAGTAAATAACAGCAGAGTTTTTTATAGGAGGCACCCCTTTGTGGTGCTGGAAGGCAAATTGCCATATTACAGTATTTTTTCAGATTGCTGGCGACGCTATCAAGCTCCTGGCAGTAGGGTTCTGCAACTGTTCTGGAGTTAACCGGTCAGAGCTCCCAATTCCTTTCTCCTGCCGACCAGTAACTCAAAATTCCCTTCCTTGAGTAGAATGAAGTGCAGGACTCGGAACCAACTGAGCAACTGATCGTCGAGGTTGAAGGGAAGAGTCTGAGATGAACAATGGCAATGTACAGGGGGGGCCAAAAAAGTCATTTTGCCTCCATGACTTTCAAGGCGCTATAAGTTACACTTTATTAAATTCTATCGGACATTTTACTACCATATTAAAGAGCACATTAAATACTATAATGATACTCCGCCACAGCCTTCTGGAGGAGCGCCATCGAGAGATTCGGCCGCGCGAAAGTGAGTGGGTACCGGAGTTGAGATCGTTGATTTCTCCGCCACTGTAGACCACCCTGTTGAGCTCCGCCCGAACCGAGTAATTAGTAACAGTAATTTAGGGAGTTTAGTTCAGGACCCCCGCTTAAATACTCCATCTTTTCCAGGTACTCAACGTTCTTCCATTCCAAGTAGGCGAAAGTTTTTCCAACGCCCTTCGATTAAATGTGTTGTCACCCAATCCTGTAGCAGTACAAAGTTTCCAAGAAGGTACGGGCGACGACATGAAGATGGGATATTCTCCTCGAGTTGCTCGATGTAGCCACCAGCGCACACCCTCAGTCTGGGGCCCACGAAGAAAATATCGGTTCATCCATTCCAGGTACGGCCGGTCCACACCATCAACCCGCGCCTTGGTGAATGGGGTGAAGATGATGTCCTGGACCGTAGCGACGTTGCCGGAGCTGCTCGATGTTTGAGGTCTTGCAGATCAAGAGTACTGGTCTCCAGGTAGCTATCCATGGGTGATTCCATTCAAGAAGTTCCGCAGCTGTTTGGAGGCCACGTGAATTCCAAAGGCGTTCTCCACTCAGGCCGCGACTGGAGATGACTTCATATTTTGGTGTACATGAAGGTGAATGGCGGCAGCCGGCTCCTGCTTATAGAGGAAGATCTTGGGTATCTTCCCCCTGTATGGGTCTGTGTGGAAAAGATCATGTGCTCAGAATGACAGCCTTACACCAGTTTTGCTGCGCAAAATTGTAT